TTTAGACCATGGCTCATATGGGTGGTTGTCAAAATTATGATCCCTTTTTGGGTACCCTAAATATTAGGTGCCGTACTATAATAGGGATCCAAAAAGGGACCATAATTTTGACAACCACCCATATAATCCCTCAATTATGGTGCTGATAATGTGAGCAGCGGCCCAGCGTAGTCTTTGCAGCCTCGGGATGAGCTTCTCAAATTTCCGGGTCAACCCTAAACCCTATAAATCCCTATAGACCTCCATATCCCCCTGAAAAGTACCTTAAATTCTTCCCTAAACCCCATAAATCCCTATATACCTCTATATCATAGTACGCCTGATGTTGGAATTGATTCCGGTCCATTGTGTGCCAGGCTCCGTGATGGGTTGCAAAGGTAGGGTCAACTTTTTGTGGGTGTAGATCTCATATGGGTGGTTGTCAAAACTATGGTCCCTTTTGGTTCCCTATTATAATACGGCACCAAATATTCAAAAAAGGGATCATAATTTTGACAACTACCCATATGAGCTAGGGTCTCAACTCCTTGAAGGGGCTTATATAGGGCTGGTTATAGGGCTTGTGAAGGGTGATGCTAGGAGTTTAGACTATGGCTCATATTTGTGTTGGGTCATGCGTGGCTAGGTAGTGACGCCTTCAGAAGAAGTCAGCTTGATGAGACTGGTGATGGGTCAAGCACTCGATGACTAACAACCCTTAACCTTGCACCTGCAGACGAATACGGTGCGTACCAACATGTGCTGTGTGGGGCGTGACAGGAACAGATGATCATGTAGGGGAAGCCATTGAGGGTGCTAAAGGTGAAGTGGATTATGGCTACTCCCTCCTCAGCCCTAAGCCCTAAACCCTAAACCCTAAGTCACAGCCTTGGACACCCTTCGGCAGGTGGAAAATGGGCGCTCAAAAAAAACAACCCTAAGCCCCAGACCCTAAGCCCTAAACCCTAAACCCTTCAACCTTTCAACCCTGAAACCCTAAAACCGGAAGTTTAGAGATTCCCCTCATGAGCTTTTTTGATCAGCCTACCTGAACTATAGTTGAAAGTCCCTAATGTGGAATATATAGGAGATTACATAGGGTGCTCTTATAGGGGTCATATAGGGTACGATTATAGGGGTTATTAAGGTTTATGTTAGGAGTTTAGACAATGGTACACCTGGTCTTTATAGATCAACTCGTGGCTGAAAGCTTGGTATGGGTGCTTGTAAACATTGAAAGCTCGAGTGGGGAATGATCAGGTTAAGGTGTAGGGCTTACGGTGTAAGGCTTAGGGATTCCCTTAGCTTTTTTTTGATTGCGTGTATAGATAATACTAGTGGTTCATCAAATGTCCACCTAGACAGAACTTTCGTCTATCCCAAACAGGGACCCGGGAATTCCTTCTAATCCTTAAACCTGGCTTAGGATTTAGGGTCTGGGGTTTAGGGGCTTCTGGGCTACCCCTGTCTTGCGAAACCCCGTATGGCAGTAGTTCCAGCCCGCAACGATTATCTTGTTTTGCGCATTGTCTTTCCTAGCCAACATTGAGTGTAACTCAATTTCCTTGAGGGCTGGATTCCCAAATGAGCTGTGGCCACTAGAATGGACAATGATGGGTTGGAAAGAGAAGTCCGTGTCATATCACATCCAGAAAGTGACGTCACAAGATCTTAGGCATGTCGTTCCTTTAAGAAATGGCCAGCTCAGGTACCCTACAGCCTAGCCCTAAACCCTAGAGCCCTGAACCCTAAAATAGCCTTAGGTATCTTCTTGGGTGCTTACAACCCCAAACCCAAAGTGTTGGTCTTGAACACTAGGTGAAAAGGTGCGGCGGGATATATAGGTTATAGAGGGGTATACAGGGACGCGCAGGGTCTAGGGTTTCCCCAAATTTAGGCTACTTTTTCAGGGGAACCCATAATGAGGATTGTAGTATATCAGGGTCTACATTGAGGTCTTCCTATTTCAGAAACTACCAGGTGTGAGAGAAAACCTAGAGCATGGGCCCAGACAACTAAGATGAAGTAGAGGGTCAAACCCTAAACCCTAAACCCTAGCTCCAAGTAGCAGTAAATCCGAAGCCTCCTACAGACAGGCGGGAGAAGGAGTGCTTCAAATCAAGCCAAAGTTTTAAGTAAAGCCTTTATACGAGCTATTGTCAACATTAGCCTTACTAAGGGGCCCTTAACAGGGGACATAGGGGTCCCTCTTGTAGTTTGGTATAGTTCCGAATATAGTCCCTAATAAGGAACCCATGTCCATTAAACTATGTAGGAAATATTGATTGTAGATACCCTCATGTATCCTTATGTAATCCCCAGATACCTCTCCATAATCCCTGGATACCCTTACATAATGCCTAGACATTCCTCCAAAAGGTGTGTCACTTCCAGAAGAGGGACGAAAAGGACGGAGTTGACAAGGAGAATTTCACAAACATTTATGCCTGGCTCCTGGCTCTTCAACTGGTCTCGTCGGGATTTTTGGGTTTTGGGTTTGGGTTTTGGGTTTAGGTTTGCACTTAGGGGTTTTGGGGGGTTTAGGATTTGGGCTTAGGGTTCAAGATGATTTAAGGGCTTCGGCTTTCAGGGTTCAGGGTTTGGGGTGTAGGGTTCAGGATTTAGAGTTTCAGGTTGGCCCCTTGAAGGAGGGTCATACAGGGTTCTGATGGCTTTATAGGGTTTATACAGGGGTGGTTGCCGTGATCGAGGGTTTCGGGATGGCGGTTTTGGGCTGAGAGTTTGGGATTCCGGGCTTGGGCTTTGGGCCTGGTTTCAGCAGTTTTGTCTTGCTGTGTGCTCGTGATATCTATCAACATCCTCATGCCATAAATCCAAAATGCCTAAGGGAGATTCAAAATGGAAGCCTCAACAATTGGCAACAGAGCAAGCTTGGAAGCTTTTTGTAAGCGTTCTCTGTCATGTGGACATGTTGAGAGGTTTTGACAGGCTGGTTGTCAGGGAAAAATATAGCGACCTTAACCGACCTCACCTTAAATTAGAGGGTTTAGGGTTTAGGCTACAGGTAAAATAGTCGCAAATTTGTGTAGTTCGAGGTTCTGACAGCATTATGGAATGGCCAGAACAGGTGAAGAACTTCCCCGGCGAGTGGGACGACGACAAGCTTCTCAGCATTTTTGGCAGCCGGGCGGCACGTAGTGCGGGCGGGTGAAGTTCAGGGATCTCTGAACCTTGAGGACCCCGCAAGAGGTGTAGGGTTTAAGGGTTTAGGGTTTGGGTTTCTTGGTGGCGGAAAGATCCAGACAGTAATCCCTACACAATTCCACGAAAGTCCCATTCAGTATCCTGTTCCCTGGGTCCTGAACCTGTAGTTAGGAAATATATTGTAGCCCCCTGATAAGCCCGTAATACCCCTACTACAACCCTTTATAAGTAGGTTACGTAACCAACTAGTCAAACCCTAAACCCACAAAGTAGGAGGGGATTCATTGTGAAAGGCTTCTACTTGCATGGCCTCTCGGGGCATTCAGATTACTCATAATTCATACGGTTATACAGGGTTTGGGCTTCAGGGTTACCATTGGACACCATGTTCTGTACCAGAGGTTCATACTCTGGTACTTCAGTCCTAAGTCTTCTATAGCCCTCATGCAACCCCAATGATCCCCAAAATTGGAACCGATAATGGGAATTTAGCTTGCGTTCCTTAAGTCCGTAGATCCCGCTGTATTACCTCAGTTTCCGTGTCATTTTCTCAGCTCATTCTCAAATTAAACTCCGAGCCCCTAGCCGAAAACTCCAAATGCAGCTTACCGGGGTGTGGCTCGGATGAAGGAATGTCAAGTGGAAGCAGGGGTTATGTAGGACTACAGGGATTTGGCACTCGAGTAACACGAGGCTTTTTGGTAACCCCAGCCCCAGAATTCGGGACCCTATGACAGTCTTATGATAGTAATCTGGGTTGCTATTCAGGAACTTAATTTAAGTTACGTACTATATTGGGGAAACCATATTGATTACTATATGTAGCTTAACTTACGTTCCTTCACAGCAACCCAGCAATTGGGGGTCCTAGTTTTTGGAGTTGGGGTTGCCAAAACTTCTCGTAATACTAACTATGGAGCCCCATAATCTTATGTAGATCATGTGTTCATGTCATTTCACCCGAAACTCTAAACCCTATGTTTCTCCATATGATCTATAGTCTAAGCCCCTTAAAGGGGGGTTGTATAGGGCATGATATGGGGTACTCTTATGGGGGGTATTAAGGAGGATGCTAGGAGTTTACACTACCTTACATGACCCTACATATCCCTATACAGCACCCCGTGTATCTTATCAGCAGCAATTTCCTGAAGCGACGAGCCCTGCCCGGTCGACCCGAAACCTTCGGGTTTAAGGTTCAGCGTCGGGGATTCAGGGTTGAGGGTCTAGTTCCTAAATTCTAGGGTTTAGGGTTTCGAGTTTCAACCCAGAATTCAAGCATGTAAAATGAATCTAGCAGGATGTCCTGAACTGTTGAAAGCTGGGTTATTTAGTGGTGGTGAGTACGGCATTAAGGAATGGATTCTAG